AAATGTCAAAACTTTTTTTTTAATTTTTGAAGGATGTAAAGAGAAAAATAACATGAAAAATATCCAGGGAGAAACTGTATGAAAAATACAGTATTTGAAGTAAAATTAAATTGAAAAATACACCAGATATATATCAACAGCAGATTGCCCACTGCAGAAGAAAAGAAACTGAAGATAGAGCAACACAAATTATCCAAATGAAGCAACTAATCAGAGCTTCAGTGGGATACTACCTGGGCAACTTACATACAGTACATATAATAGGAATCCCACAAAGGGAGAAACCTGGAGTAGACAAAAAGAATACTTAAAGAAATACCAAAGGCTACCAAATATTGCACAAATTTAATGAAAACCATAAACTCACAAACCTAAAATATTAATAGGCCAAGGAAAAGAAGCGTAAGTAAAACCACACCAAAGAACATGAAAAACTGTTGAAAGCTAGTAATAAAGAGAAAAATTTAAAGGTCACCAGAGGAAAAAAAAACAACCACTATATGGATGAATCAAGATCAAAATGACAAAAATTCTCATTAGATAATTAGAAAAGTCAGGCATCATGGCACATGAATGTAATCCCAGTACTCCAGAGGCTGAAGTAGGAGGATCACTATGAGTTCAAGACCAGCCTGGACTACACAGTGAGACTCTGTCTCAAAAAACAAACAAATAAATAACAAACAAATAAATAAACAAATAAATAAGAACTACAAGAAATGAAGAAAAACTTCAAAGTGCTGAAAGAAAAACTCTAGAACTCTACCCAATGAAAATATCTTTCAAAAATGAAGACATAATAAACTCGTGAAATGATGATCAATATCATTAGCCATAAGGAAATACAAATCAAAACTACAATAAGATACCACTTCACACCCTGACTATAATCAAAAAGATAGGTTAAGGGGAGGTTATGGAAAAATGGGAACTTGCATACATTAATGATGTGACTGTTAAATGGTACAGTCACACAAAACAGTTTGACAGTTCTTCAAATCATGAAACAGAGCCATCCACCATATGACTTAGAAATACTATTCCTAAATATATACCTAAGAAAAAGGAAAATGTATGTTTATTCCAAAATTTATGTATTCTAAACTTGAGATAGAAAAGGTAAAATAAGCCTGAAAAACAGTGTGGTGCCAGGAAATTGAGAGTACTCAAAAAATAAAGGGAACATGTCAAGAAGAATGAGTGGGCATGAAGGCTCTTAAAGGCCAAACATAAGCAATTTAAGCAAATAAATAACAATAGTGACAGACTATAGCCAAAAGAATAAAATAAATATATACTGATATAAATTATAATCAAATACACGAATAAATAGAAGCTCTTACGATAGAATTCTATACAACAGAATTTCCACTGTTCCCTGCATAAATTATTACTTTTATAACTGTAGAAAGAAAAAATGGAAATCTTAAAAATCACCACAATAATAACTGCTTCAAGCAAGACTCATTAATACATGCAAAAATTAGGGAGCAAAAATATGAAAAACAAGATATGTACACAATTTCAAAGACTCTCCCACAAGATGCTTACTTATTGCAATGAGGAAAAGACTAACCCTTGCACTAAAGAAATTTGTCACACACCTCCTTAGATAAGTGACATAAGTTAACAATACCAATAATGAGACAAACATCATGTACTTTAAGACAAGTTAACATCACGTGCTTTCTGATAATACTTCTGTGCCCAAAAATAAATTAACTTGAATTTAATCACAAGGAAACATCAAAAAAACCCAAATAACAGACCAATGCTCTCTTCCAAAGTCTCAATATATGAAAGTCAGAGACTAAGAAATTACTGCAGTTTAAAGACAACTATAGAAACAAAACAATAGAATGTAACATATAATCCTGGATTGGATCCTAGACCAGAAAAACATCAGAGAAACAACTTTGCTCACTTTTATCATTCTATTATGGTTGCAGAATATTTCAACATTCAGCGAAATAAGCTAAAGTTACAGAAAAGTTTATTAAACTATTTTTGCAAGTGTGAAATTTTTAAAGCATGAAATTATTTCCAGAAAGAGTTTTAAGTTTAGTAGTAGAATTAGCTCGGTAGTAGAATGCTTGTCTAGTAAGCAGGAGGCCCTGGGTTCATTCCTCAGCACCAAAAAATTAAAAAGCCAGAAGAAAAAAAAAAAGTTTTAAGTGAAAAGTTAAGCAAAGTAGGAAGAGACTGTTGCAATATAAATCCAACAAAAGCTCATATCCAAAATAAAAAACACCTAATCATTAAGAAAAAACTGGCCTTTCACAGGATATCCAAAAAATACGAAAAGGTGCTCAAAATCACCAGCTATCAGAGATATGCAAACAACTACTCAAGTATGGCCAAAGTGAAAAACTTTGCACTCCTAAGTATGGCCAAAAATGAAAAAAACTGCCAACACTAAGTGTTAGTGAAAGCGTAGAACAATCAGAACTGGCACTGTGAATTTACAGGACCACATTGAAAAATTACATGGCAATATCTACTAAAACTATTTAACTCCTGAGGAGTGGTAAGTATTTGTATTCATTCACTCAAGAGAAATGAGTTAAGTCCATTCACCAAAAGATATGTTTTTGTTTTTTTTTTTTTTTGTTTTTCTCCGGTACCAGGAACCGAACTCACGACGTTGTGCTTGCCAGGCAGGCGCTTTGCCGCTGAGCTAAATCCCCAGCCCCCACCAAAAGATATGTACATTCTTTGTATACCAAAAAATGATGAACACATTCTGCACTCTTATGAATGTTCAAAGCAGTTTCACTCATAATAGCTTAAAAATACAAACCTATCAACAGCAGAATGAGTACACAAACTGCATATTCTCAGACATGATGTTGACTTAAAAGACATAAAGGGTGTGTTATGTACAGCTCCACCAATACTGGGCCAATTAATATACAATTATTCAAATTAGAATTATGGGTATCTGGGGAGGAGAATACTGACAAGGAAGAGGTAAAGCAGTCTTCTGTGGCACTGAGAATGTTCTCTATCTCTTGTTTGTTCTGCAGTACTAGAGATGGAAACCAGGACCTTCATACTGAGCAACATTCCCTGGCTTTTTTAATTTTTTTATTTTAAGACATGGTCTCACTAAGCCACTAAATTGTTCAGACTGGGATCCTACTTATGATCCTTCTGATCCCAAAGTGCTAGGATACAGACGTACACCACCATGCATGGTATATTCTTTATCTTGGTATGGGTACTGGTTACATGGTGTGTTCATTTGCAAAAACCTGTATGAACATTTATGGTTTGTACATTTTATTGTATGTAAGGTATACCTCAATTAAAATGCAGTGGTGCATTTCTCAACTCTATGATTTCAGTATCTTGGTGCAAAGTATTATTGCTGAAGACACCTAAGGCGAAGGAACTGAGTTCAATTTTGGACATGCTAGTGGAAACATGTAGTGGAAACAGGGCAATTGAATCTGAATCTTAGATAACCTGAGAAGGATGTATAAATGTAAAAAACAGACATTAATCTGTGCAACACAGAGTGGCTGGAAAGAGAAGTAGTATTATAAAGGATGGCTGCAATTCAAAAATACGGATATGAAATCCAAAGACTCTCTTGGTATTTAGGGAGCTGAGTGAGTAATAAGGCTTGTGTTTTAGTATACATAAACATACTAACACAACCCATGCCTTGAGAGAAATATAACTACACAATCCATGCCTTAGTTTAAATTCTAATGAGTAGGTATCAAACAGCGTATTATTAGACAATGTATATAAAGCACTTAGAACAGAGTAAGTGTTCAATAAATATCAGATTTGGTATAAGTATGATCTCTTAGTTTTTACGTAATTAGCTTTATGCATACTAGAACACAAGCCTTCTTATTCACTCAGCTCCCTAAATACCAAATTGAGTCTTTTGATTTCATATCCTTATTTTTGAATTGCAGCTATCCTTTATAATACTACTTTTCTTTCCAAACGTGTTTCTTGTAGACCTATCCAGAGGTAGACATGTTCAATCAGATTTCCTTGCCCAGGATGCTGAATCACAGGAAAAGTAGCAGGAGATGAGCAACTCCAGAAGTTCAGGAGTTCACATGGCTGAACTCCATCTGGTCTACAGGGCCCAGATCTCTACCTGCACCACCCTGGCTCCTGTTCCTCCTGAGAACTACATGTTCAGCTCCTCCAATTCTATTCTTTCAGTAAGCCTCTTCTGCTCACTTAAAACAGCCAGGTTTGTATTTCTAACAAAGAATCTCACCTGATAGGTAAAGAAAGATTATTCTACAAGGGGTTTTACTATCAAACACAGTTGCCAAAACTCAATGAACTGTGCCTTTAAAATAAGTGAATTTGCATGCATGAGGCTCTGAGTTCAATCCCCAGCAGCCCCCTCCCCAAAACGGAGGGAATTTTATCTAAACTCTCAAATTAGATACTTAATAACAGGAACCCTTTACTCAGCAACCTCCAATTTATATTCAAAGTCATCACTTGCTTTCTCAGTAAAAATTCACGCAGCTGATCTCTGATCTCCCAAGAATCTAATCAAACATAAAATAAAATAATATAAAGTAAAACATAAAATAATGCTTTTAAAACTATTTCCTAAAGTACTCGCTGTGCGACCTCTGGTATCAGCCTAGGTAAGTACCACACATAGCGAGCTGGCATTGAAATTAATTTTAAACCACTCCAAATCTAATAAATGCAATATTATATGTCTCCCAACAATGCTTCAAATGAATATAGCTAATCTGGCTCCTTGATATTTTAACACTCACTGCTTCTCCCTCTGAGCTTAGCAAAACAAAAAATATAAGTAACCCAAGTTTCAATATACTATCTGAGCAGAAAACAAAAATACATCACATATACATCAAACCCAACTTTTGCAACAATATTCTAGTCCCTTCTCTTCAACTTAAATTTTAATTACTTCATGAGCTTCCATTTCTACAACATGATCTAAAATATTTACAAAATGAAAATAAGCTCCAATATTCACCTACCCAACATTTGGCAATCCAACAATACCAATTTTCAGTGAAGTTCCAAATCTTCCAATGATAGGGGGTGGTTTAACTCCATCACCTCCCTTTTTGGGGGGCATCTGAAATGTCAAACAAACACGCACAAAATTTTTACTATTGCTATGAACAGAAACACATTTCTTTATATATATTATTGGATAAAGAGAATAAAACACACTGCATTTATCAATCCAATACTAACGGCTAAATCCGCTTAAAAAAAAAAAAAAAAAAAAAAAAAAAAGCTCTGTAAACAAATCAATGTCAATGCAGTCACTCCCAAGATGTCCTGGAAAAACTGATCTAAAAATATGTGGCACCAGAAATCAAACATAAAATATAATTCCAATCTTCCGTCCTTACAAAACACTTCATTTCTTAATCTGTCTTTGGGTTATATGAACAAAAGCATTTGGACGAGACCCGGCCCGCTCAGGATGGTACGGCCGTAGACGAACGAATGCATTCGGAAGCAGGTGTAGATGCGAGTTGAAGAAACACCTATCTTAGAACTACCAGCCAGCAAGTCATCTCTCAACAAACCATTATTAATCTGGAAACTGTTCTTCCCTACTTTCCCACAACTTCCATTTTTCACATGGTCGTACAAGCGATTGGGTATTTGGGTCTTCCAACCAAGTCCCTCCATCTTTGGCACTGCAAGTTTATCAATCCTCATAAGTAAACTTCAAAAGCTGTACTCTGGTTACTTAAAGTAAATTAACCCACTCAACGCTCTCACCCTCGGTGCTGGCGCTGGAACCCAGGGCCTCAAGCATGCCTCAGGCAAGTGCTCTTCCACCAAGCAACGTCCTCAGTCCACATGCACTCAATCCTCTCATTTACAAGTCAGAACTTTCTCTGTCCCTTGCTAGCCCTGGCTTCAACTTCCACGGCGCAGAATTCATCCCACTTTACTAGTGCAAACTCAATTCACGAAGACTGCTAACCCAGTATCTCAGAAGCTGGGAGCCAAAGCGGGCTCAGTTCTACCTCCGGGGGCCCCGCCAGGGCTCTGCTCCAGAAGTGAGAGCCCAACCTCTGATCCCAGACCTCAACAGCCTCGTTTTACCCCTGGGCCAAGGCTCTCCCTTCTCAGGGTCTTGACACCTGTTCCGGGCCGAAGTCCAGGCCTCCACAGAGCAGCTGCAGAGCAGAGCCTGCCCGGTCCTCTGGCCCGCGGCGTGGGGACCCGCAGCCCAGCCAGGCGGGCCCCGGCCGGACGCGTTCCCACCGGCCGCGCCCCCGCTCGCCCCGGATCAGGAGAGGATGTCCCGGGACGCGCCGGGACCACGCGCCAGCCGCACTCGGGGCCCGCGGCCTAGTCCGCCGCGCCTCATTCATCCTCACACCCACGCCGCCCGCAGCACTCGCCCCATCCCGGCCGCCGGGCCCCGGCCGCCATGGCGCCGGCCTCAGAGCGACCCGCCCGGGAGCCGAAGCTCGCGCAGAGGGCGCATCGCGGGCCCCCCGTGGGCCTCACCGTGCTCCAGGAGGACGCAGACGCGGGGTCCCAGGCAGCGGGAGACTCGTCCTGCCGGCAGCCGGAGGCGGGGAGGAAGGCGGGCACAGCGCAGGCCCGGCCCCTCCGCCGAGCGGCACGCACGACGGCGGCGCGGG